ACATTAACAATTTTTAGTCAAGTTCTTTGACAATGATTAGTTTTGTGTACTAGTGAGAATGTACGAGTAAAAATTTACGCGTGAATCATAACAAAATTTTCCAAAGTACAATGATTTGAAACGAGAATTTATGGTTTGACATTGTTCCAAAATCATCTCGGTATTGCTGTGTAGCAGTGTGAACATAGCAGAAGCGACAAAAACATTAAAGACTTTTGAACTGTCTTCTGTTTGATCGAAGAAACAGTAAGCTTGACTAGAGAAGAAAGAAAAAACCGGATGTGAAAGTGAGTAAACCACTTCTGTTCTGTGTTTTTGTAAAGTGGAAGCTGTGGAAACAATTAAACATGCCCCCAAATAAAGTGTAACCGATTATTATACCAGTTGAGGTCAAAAAAAATGCCGTAAAAGTCATTGGCAAAGTCTTTGTTTGTAGTTTCGATACCATCAAAGAAATTGGTTTATTAGTTACTTTATAAACTGCCCGTATTTAAAACCATTATTTTTTAAACCTTAAGTTAAGTTAAAATCACTATCGACTCTCAGACAGACAATCGAAGTTAAGAGACTCTTGTTGTTGCCAAAATTTGTGACCTGTTTTTTTCTTCTTATTATTCTTTTTCAACTGCTATTTGTTTCTGAGTTTCCGTTTTCACAGATGTTTAAAAAAGAAATCAGTTTGAATATGCGACTAAGCTTCACTGCTATTAAGGGCATTCAGTATGCTTTCTGCGTGCTATTTTTTAACTGCATTTTAAGCCTTATAGTTTCTTATTGTAAATAACTTTTGTTGACATATTTAATTGTTGGTACTCGAGTTACGAAAGCAGTTTATGACATAAAATTGACTTAATGGCCATTAGATAATTGTATAAACTGTTATCTAGTCAAATTCTGTATAATATTTTTGGCTTGCAGAGTTCAAAATTTTATAGTCTTGCTTCTGATGCTTCCTTTTTCTGTCTTTTGAATTTTGTTCAGGAATCTATCTAATAGATAAATATACCAAAAAGTAGAATTTATAATTATCCGTAGTTTATTTTTTGCACAGTCATTTTTCGAGAGTTATTCAACTTAATTTATGACTTCTTTCCTTTCTGTTAAGTGAAATTTTTCATAAAGCTTAAAAGTAAAAACTTATTTCTTTTAGATATGTCGACGAAGCTTCTACTATCTGTACTACTTCTTCCGGCTTCTACACTTGCTCTTATCGGCCGAGATCAAAGTGCAGGAGTAGAAGGAATATTGATGTGTGGTACTGGTCCAGCAAAAGACGTTCTTGTTAAACTTTATGACGATGATTCAGGTACAACAAAAGCAACTTTTTATGTTTTTAAAGAGCTATTATTCTGGTTAAGCAATGAATAACCAAGTTACAGTAATTCAGGCAACTGCATTTTTTAAAGCTAAAATTACATTTTTAGCAGTTTTAAAAGATAATTCACTTACTCACTTATTCAAAAGCTACTGCATAATTAATTATCTGACCTTAACAATAATATATGGTGCACCTGAAAAATTTTTGTCTTTTGCAGGAATTGATACAGATGATTTGATGGCTGAAGGAACAACTGATTCTAAAGGGTATTTCAGAGTTGTTGGTTACACAGATGAGATAACGAACATTGATGTAAAGCTAAACATTTATCATGACTGCGACGACGGATTAACAGTTCGTTTAGAAAATTTGTCTTAATACATTATATTCTGCATCACTTTACAATACAGTAACTGCGTTTTAAACACACAACTTAAAATGAAACTGCAACAGTGATACTGAGAGCACTAAAAATTTATATTCAACACAAAAATCTCAAAAATTTTTATCAGTTTTACATATTTATCAAAAACTGTATTATCACTAAGAAGAAGTTTGTTTTGAAGACACTGACGTAAACACATTACTTAAATAGACAGGTTTCGCTTCCGGATTTCGTTCAGTATTTCGCAGTTTTAGTTTCTCGTTCCAACTAATCGACATTTATATTTCGCCATATTATTACCAGTAGACCAGTTCAATAAAGCGAAAATTTGTTAGTATAAAAAGCTGTTAAAAATATACATTTATAGGCATGATAAAAAGCATTAACCTATGAACACCTAAACTAAAGTAATAAATTTGCATATATTACCAATAGTGCTATTAAAACTGCTGCCAAACTTAAATTTTTTTTCATTTTTCTATTTTCATTTGATAGCACATCGGTTTTGAAAAATAATTGTTTATTTACGACTTATTTACCAATTAAAGAAAGACTCTTACTATCTTGTTGACCAGCTTTAAAAAGCTCTGAAAACTTCATTTGAATTTCTATACTATTTTGCTGCTGTAATCGACAAAAAACTTTTTTTTTTTGGAAATTTTCTAACTAAATTTAATTTTTCAGATACTTTTTGAGTAACTTTGGAATAATTGTTATGAGAGAAAAGAGATCCTCACTTGTTTAAGAAAAAAGATCTACCATTAGTTAAATTTAAAAATGAAATAGCTAAATTTTGACAGGCATTACTAGAACTGCATAATCTTAGGTTTACTCTAAGGTTTTCCTTTTTAAGAATGTCGACAAAAGAAAATTATTATAAGCAATAAAGAAAGCTATAAATTTATAATCTTTTGGTCAATGTTGTTGACCATGAGGTTTTTTGACAACAACAAGATGAAAAATTCGCTATTTTTTTTGTTAACGCCTTATACAGAATCTTACTCGAAATTTGTCAAAAACTTCACATAAATCATAAAAGGTTTTTTTATTTTTTAAATTTATTTTTAATTATTTGTCGTTATTGATAAGTTGTCGCATTGCAGATTTTAAGACACTGACTTTTTAGCTTTAGTAACAAGTCATTGTATTATTTTTTATTGTAAGAAAGTGGTTTTTTAGCCTTGCCAACGAAAAATAACGATATGGGTACCTGATCGATATGTTTCATCTGGAAAAACACCGACAAGAATTTATAATATTGGAACCTATGATTTATCGTTAAAGTTACAGGGTGAAGAACGTGACTGTATTCATTAGAATCGCAATGTATATCGCATTTCACTTCTCTGAAATACGGGCAATTTTTTTTTTAGGTGTTTATGTACTTTTTCAGTCACTTGTAAACTTGTTCAAAAATTTTCTTGCTGATCTGCAATTTGTAATCTCATTGCATTGTTATTAAACACGATTATTTGTAGTTTCCTGCTTAATACGTTCTTTCTATAAGTTCAAAATATGTTCAAAAACTACAAAGGTGGCAGTACCCAAAAGAGAAAGATAGTTTGAAGAAAAACATTCAAAAAACGTTTTTTGTTCCTGAATAAAGCACCGGCAAATAGTATCACATTAAAGAAAATAAAACTGGGAATTGAGTAATTAAGAAAAGTCATTACGCATCAGACAGTGAAACTGTTTCATCAATGACTAAAAAAAAAAAGAAAATTTGAGAAGAATAAAAAGCATAAAAAATAATCGAATTTGTGCATCATTTAACAGTAAAGCACAAAAAACAAAGTTGAGATTTTGAAAACTTAATTGGATTATCTGATTATTCTAAACAAATAAGCAAATGTTTTTTTCTGTTCAGAACAAAAATGCAGTTAACAGAAAGAGTGTACAAGAAGTGAACTGGTAAGTATTAGAAGCTAATGTTTAGTCAGTGAAAATATTGCAGACAAGAATTGTTCAGTAGGCAATTTAATAAAAAAAAAACATAGGAGTTTGAAGCAACTTTTTCACGTGACAAAGACTTAAAATTAATTTACATCTAAAACTGTACCAAATTAACCAAAGTATTCCAATGACTTTGTAACAAGCTGATTTTTGATTACTTAATTTCTAAACAGCACACTAAAAGTGTATCTTTACCTGCATGAATCATAGTTTACCACAACCTTTTTAACAGTAGCTATCAGCAGAGCACACTGATGGTGAGAGCCAAATGTTTAGTGAATCTCCATAAATGCAGAAAACTTTTTTTGGAATGCTCATTACTGTATATCAGTGGTTGTATTAATGCTGAAGAATAAGCCGAAGTCGAACAAAAATGATGCAGTTCTAACATTGTTGGTCTGTGTAGTGAATTACGCCTGGAAAAACCTGTTACAGTTTACTAAAGCAAAAAAAAAGAGGTATGTCTTATATAACATCAACAGAACTTGTGGCTTCACAATTAAAACCTCTGCCAAATGCTGTAAAGTAGATCCTGAACTCTTGACCTTTTTTGTTGACACAAAGCACAGTAAGGATAGTCACTGTTGATTAAAGATTGCCAAAAAATTTTTTTTTCTTTTACATAGAACTTTTTTTAATGTGGAGGCAGTCTTCTAAATGTTTTCAAAAAGCTGTTAAAAAGTAGTTTTTGAAAACCCTAAAGTATCACAGATCTATGCTTTTTCCGTAAATTTATGTATGCAAGCTTTAAAGGAGCAATTGACTTGTGGAATAACGATAGTATGAATAATAAGAAAAGATACTTGAAATGTAAGTTTGTGTTTACTTAAAAATAACCTTTAAATAAGCTGAACTACTCAAACTAAAATACAGTTAAACGACTAACCGCAGTCGTTGCTTGTGGTTTTTTACAGTTCACTCTGTTCGCTGTGGTACTCGGCTGTATTGTTTGACATTTGTTATTTTAAAGATGAATAATTTTAAAACCTTTTAAGTGATATTTAAGATATAAAAAATTTTTAATCTGCTGTGAAAACGTACAAACTGTAACACTGTTCAAGTCGTTGACTGTTATTTAAGCAGCATCTTAAAAAACAGATACTATTTTGGAAAAGTTATCGTTAATTTGTTCTATCAGTATTAAATCTACAACTTCAAAGGTGTTTTAGCTCGACTGATTTGGAAGAATCTCAACAAAGTGCTTATAGGAGTGTCTGACAATGTGGAAACAAATTTACATATTCTTTGTATTCTTCCCAACATTTACACTTCAGCTAATCGGCAGAACACAGAGTGCTGGAGTCCGGGGTTACTTGATGTGTGGCAACAAACCTGCTGCAAACGTACTGGTTAAGCTATATGATGATGATCGAGGTACAGAGTCTTAAACTCACCAATTAGTTTTGGATAATTTTTACCTAATATAAAGCAAATTTATAATTATAAAGTTTACTTTTGAAACCTGATCTAAATAAGGATGATACCAAAAAGGTATTTTTTATTGTTTTGAAAATTTAAAAATATCGAAAAAGGAGCTTTTAGATTGCACACTTTTGAGAACCTTATTTGTACGGATAAGACTATACAACTGTCGTAGAGCTCTCAGTTATCTTACTGATATACAACAAAAACTGTATTTTAATCTTTAACTGCTTATTATCTTATTCTGTGATTGTCTGGTAAAATTTTAAATTTATTTCTGGCCAACACAAGAATTATGCTGCTTTGCAGGAGTGGATGCAGATGATTTGATGGCAGAAGGTAGAACTGATTCACGTGGACATTTTCAACTTCAGGGTCATACTGATGAATTTACAAAGATTGATCCGAAGTTAAACATCTATCATGACTGTGAAAACACCAATGCAGTAAGTTGTAAATTGATTTTCAACAGTAATTTATTTTACTGGATACATAATTAATGGTAGCCAAATTGCTTTTTTGTATTCTTTTTGTAGAAAAATTATTTCAGATAACTATCAGTTTTAAAAAGAAATAAAAAGAAGAAGTTTAAAGTCTATTTGTTAATTAATAGTATTAATAAAGTTGACCATCGAGTGTTGAAAAAATTTAAAAGCTTTAAGCTGTGAACAGCAGTTTATTTTTTGCTAAATAACAACTGATTTTTTTTTTTTTTAAATTAGTAAAGCAAAACAAAGAAATTACGTAATCTTTTTGTAGCTTTGTAAACGTAAAGTCACGTTTTGGATCCCAGATGATTACATTTCTTCCGGTGAGACTCCATCAAAAATCTATGACGTAGGTTCAATAAATTTGGCTCTAAAATATGACGGCGAAACACATGACTGTCTTCATTAATCAACAATTTTTTGAGCGTGTATAAAGCAATTTTTTCTATTCTGAAGCATTATTTATTTGATTGTCAATAAAGTTTCACAACTTTTATCAATTATTATTTTTTTTTTTGCATTTGCAGTTAAAAGAAAAAAATTTTTTTTTACGTTTCAATAAAACAGTAGTCACCTAAAAAAAAAATAAGCTTTTATTTTTTGAGTAATTCTAGAAACAATAAAGATTTTATTAATTATGCATTCAGCTGTATATTCAATTCTGACAACAATTTGTATATATAAGTATAGATATATAATTTTTTTTTATACTTTATAAAAAAATTTTTTCAACTTAATAGTTATGTTGTAAACATATGTATATATATTTATAAGCAGACAAAAACGCATAAAAAATATTATTGGTAAAGAATTTTTTAGTGAATAACATATATTCTTGTCATATGCTTTTTTCAAAAAAAAAAAAGAAAAACAGAAGAAACTCAGTGATTGAAACTGAAATAATCAATGAAAAAATAGTGGAATGAGATTCATATAAAGAAGTTGGTTCCTTCTCTTTTTTTTTTTTTTGCAGAACAACTTCTGCAGTTCAGTAAACATACTGATATATTTGTCAACATAATCAGTTAAAAAACAAAAGAAAAAAATAAAAGTAGAGGAAGCAGTTTGGAAAATAAGAAATCGATCAGTCTGCTTGAACGTTTGCTATCGATTTTTGTATATAACAACAACTGAAGCTGTAATAATGGCTATCACTGCTACGAAAAGCAGTATCAGTATAACATTTTGTAATCGTAGTTCGGTATTTCCAAACGACCTAAAAAAATATTATAATCGACTACTGTTAACTTCTACAAAGTTTCAAAAAAGATAAGCAAAGAAAACTTATGTTAGCTGATGGCTGAGCTTTAAATAAACAACGCAAACTGAATTTTAGCAGTTAAACCAACTGATAAGAAGTAATTAAATTTTGCAAACTTAAAAGCAGTTTCAACATCGATATAACTGTTGTAAAAAGCTTTTTAACTACAAAAATTTGAAAAGATTAATTTAAATAAATTAAAACTGAGAAAAGCGCATTGTAAAGAAGCAGTTAAATTTGCTTACATTAGTTTGGCGAGTCGAACATCATACATTGCTGAAATTGAATTTTCTGGTACGTCGACCTGTATAGATTCTTTAGACATACTCTATTTAACTGTTCAAGTCGATAGCTGCCACTTTTATTGTACACCGTCACTTAGCGATTACTCGCCAAAGACTTAACGCAAACAACGTTATTGCTGAAAATGAACTAAAAACTATTGATGCCGACAGTTATAAGCCAATTATCACGGAAACAAATTGAAAACACTCCAGATTTTTTAGTCTTTTTTTTTTTGCTTTTTTACAGTTTCTTTGTGACATTGGAATTTTTGCATATTTGACTTTAAGACGTTGAATAAATTAATGATAACAGAAAAAAAAATTGTACTAAAAAAAAGCAATAATAACGAAAGTCATAAAGTTTTGAATTTGGCAACTAACTGTTGCACAGATTCAGAAACTGCTGAAAAATTTTTGCAGAAATTTACATTTGCAAGCCTCAGACATGCTTTATTTAAGTGAATGCCGGTTTGACGTAAACAGAATCTGATAGCGAAAAACAGTTGAACATAAGTTCAGGAATAGTTACTAGTTGATGGTCTAATTAACAGGTCTAATAGCAGCTAACAGTATAAAAACTAAGCACTCTTTTTTTGGAAGTATTAGTTTCGTTTTCAGAATTTAAAATCAATAATTTTACGACAGTTTTTCTAGTAACTTTTTTCTGACAGAAGAGAAAAATTAGAATTTTCATGATTATGAAAAACTGTAAGTTAGGAGCAAACGTTTCAGTTAAGGCTAGTTTACGAATACAAATGCATGACTTTTCTTTACAGTTTAAAGCTAAATATCAAATAACTCGTACAAGCAAAAAAAAAAAAAATATTTTCAGAATAATTTCAATTATAAATTCTCGAGATTTTTTGATAAGAAAATTCATTTGAATGATTTGTTTGTTGTTATTAAGAAAGGTTTTGATCTGTAAATTAGTAGGCTAATCATCGGTATAATTTATTGGTTTTTATATCATTCTTTTCTGCATTTTTTGTATAAGAAATGGCCGAAAAAAAACTGATTTTTATCATGCACATTAAGCGGTATCAATCAAAAACAATAATAAATAAAAAATGCTTCAGAGCAGATGGTGACCAGTTTCCGTCTTCAGTTTTCTGACACCCACTTCTTCTGATACGTCACTGACCAAAAACAAAATAAAAAACAAAGAAAAAACTGTTACTTTTTTTTTTTTTTACAGAGAAAAGGGTGGTGTAGAGGAAGTTCTAAAAATTGGTTAATGCTTAAAAAAAAAGCAATAATTTTATTCTGCACATACATCTGACGTTGCTGATTAAATTTTATTCATTATAAGGAAGAATGCCATAGTTTTGCTGTAAAATTAACTTGTCTAAATTCTTCTTCTTTTTAATTCTATCTTGCTTAGAACACTGTATGTATCAGCCTTGTTCTTTTTTAAAAACTTCAAAGATTTTTGCTGCACATTATAGAATTTTTTTTAGCAGTTATTGAAAATTTACTTAATGGTATAGTAATTCCTTGTTTTTTTTTTTCGTTTTTTGCTGCAGAGTATTAGTGTTATACTTTGATACTATTGTTCTACACAGAACAAAAAGCAGCAAGAAAACAAATTTAAAATGCTCATTTTTCTTTCCTTTGTTATGTCATTTCCTCCCCCCCCCCCTGTCCCAATTTTTTAATAGTAATTCTTCATAAATATTTTAAAGGTAAAATAAAAAATTATGATAAAATTGGCATTATATGGCATAAAAAAATTTAACGATTACAACAATTATTCTAAGTATGTTTCAGCAAATAACGTCACAGTTGCAAACAGCAAATTTAAAAGAAAAAAATAAAAAAATCTTTTGCAAGTATGGCAACAGATGAAAGTCACGAAATTTTTCTTTTGCATAAATAATTTTTTTTTTTTATCAAACAATAAAAACTATAGAAATTAGAGTTTCTTTTTTTTTTTTTTTTTGAAAAATATTATGCTTGAGAAAAGAGAGTTTACGTAGGTGACGTACATAAATCACAAATTTATTCAGATATTTTTGCTTTTAAAAATCTTTACCATGTTAAATATTGCATTATTTTCAAAACTCCTCTTTTTAGGGTATGTTGAAAAAATCAAAAAAAAAAAAAAAAAA